ATTTAAGATTTGTTCATATGGGATGTGCCACGCCCACTGTAGCTGGGCTGTTCATTTTGTCAACATGTGTTCATATGGATGTCAAAGTTGTTCATACAAAATTTGAGGCCGTTTAGCAGTCTATAGACTTCAAACAAACCCACAAACAAACAAATAAACACACATTCATTTTTATATATATACATATCAATCACGGATGATCATGTGAATGATCACATGCTGCACGTTTACTCATTTATGGAGTTATTTCTTGAAATGTTGACTTATATTTACTTAAAAATCAATTTCAATCGATCGTGTAACTTATTTACAAAGTTAAGGAAGCTTAAAGCTTATTAAATGAACTTTATTTAGTTCATGTAATATTAATCCGCATTAATTAACTTATATATTACTTTTTAAATCCCTAAAAACAAGCTTAAGATTAATTTGAAAAAAACTATAAAAGTTCAAAAGTTTTCTTTAACAAAAGAATAACACCAACAAGTAAAAATAGCGTGCAACAAGTAGCAGGCAATTTCTTTATCTATAAGACACATTTAAAACGCAGATAAAGATGATGATGTGTTTTAGAAAATAAAAAATAACAATTTCCCACATTATCTACAAAAAAAAATGAATAAAATTGAAATACAAGAAAGAAATACAAAAGGTTAAAAACTTTTACAATCAAATCTAATAATAATGAAAAAAAAAAAAATTCAAAATAAAATTAATTTAATAATAACAATTTTTAGAATAAGTTTAAAGTTAAATAACCCCTTTTTAAAGAGCATTAGACAATACTGTACGTCCGTCCTTCCATCCAAGTGTCTGTCCATCCGTCCGTCCTTCCATCCAATTGTCTATCCATCCGTCCGTCCTTCCTTCAGTACCACATTGTTTTTTTTTCGATTTTTTTTAAGAATAAAAGAAACGGTAACTTTTTTTTTGTTTTATAAAAAGTAATTGTTGCTACATGCAACAACATGATTTCTTTTCTATTATTATTATTTCAGTTACTGTTGTGTGTATTGTATTATTAATCAAATCAAATTATTAAAGAAATTAACAAACAAATGAAAAATGAACTTGAAATGAACCGAAGTTGGAAGAAAAAATCAACCTTTTTTTAATTAATGTGTGTAAATTATAGACAAAATTAATGAACTCAAACTATTTTGAATTGAATAAAAAATAAAAAAAAATATTTTCCCAAAAGTATTAGATATAAAAAGAAAACTAAAAAAAAGAAAAACTTTGAATATCAAGTTCATACTAAAGTTAGAGAAATAACAATTTCTCAACTTCGTTCTCGTTTATAAATTTTAAATTTGAATTGAAAAACTATTATTTTTCAAATCGTTTCTCTCAAGCAAGTGGCATTTAAATGAATTAAGAATATAAATACCAAATTTCAAACCTCTAATTCTAATTTCGGAAACATTACACAATTATCTTCTATTTCAAATAAAAACTAATTCTAGTTCCCCTTATTTTCGACCCTACAAATAAGGAAGTCTGCAACAACAAAACAGCAAAAATGTTTACAGCAACTTCATAAACAAAAAAAAAATGTTATAACAGTAGTAAGAACAACATAAACCAGCAACACCTAACAACCAACACATAACAGTAGCAACTGGAAAAATCCAACAGCAAACCATTTTACAAGATCAACTTATACCAACAACAACCAAACAACATCGACTCGAGAACAACTACACCAAGACAAGGTGTAAATAAACAAGAAACAAACATGAGAGACCTACGTTTATTATTATTATGTTTTTTTTTATAGTCAAACACTTCCTTCCACCTAAAGTCATTGGATAAGAAGTCTACTTCATAGTGACTGCAGCCAAAAAAATGCCTGCATGCGCTGTAACAGATGGGCAACCAAAGAATGCAGTAAGAATGAATAGAAAAAGCTAGAAGTTGTAAGTTGGATTAAAAAAAAACTGAAAATAATAAAAGCAGATTGTTAAAAAAACAATTTTATGCTCAAGTAACTGCATTTGGGAGATCGGTACATACGGACTTTATAGAACAGTACGTGGATTAAGTCGAAATTATAGTATTTTTTATATACATATTTACATATAACGAACTTTTATTAGTGAGTTTTGATTAGTCCACTAGTCATTCGACTAATCTATAGAGTAGTCAATAGACTAGACTATCGACCATCGACTAGACTAATCCATAGACTAGTCAATTGAATATTCCATAGACCAGTTTATAGACTAATCTATGGGAAAACAAGAAACTAGTCTGTAGACTATTCAATTGAAAACTCAATAGGCTAGTTCATAGAAAAATTAATAGACTAGTCAATAGAATAGTCCATAGACTGGTCAATAGAATAGTCCATAGACCAGTTCATAGATTAATCTATGAGAAATCAATGAACTAGTCCGTAGACTAGTCAATAGAATACTCAATAGGTTGGTCCATAGACTAAACAATGGACTAGGCAATCGACTAGTCAAAAACTAATTATTTCACTACTCGATAATATTCGATAGTATTCTATCGAGTAGTCAAATAATTACTTTTTGGACTAGTCCATTGTTTAGTCTATGGACTAGTCTATGACACTAGTTAATATAATACTCAATAGGCTAGCCCATAGACTAAACAATGGACTAGTACAAAAACTAATTATTTGACTACTAATTGACTAGACCATGTAGTAGTCAATAGCCTAGTCCACAAACTAATGAATAGTCTAGTCCATCGACTAATCAATACACCATTTCATAGACTAATCCATTTGTAGTCAATGGACTTTTCCGTAGACTAGTCAATAAAACACTTAATAGGTTAGTCAATAGGCTAGTCAATATACTAGATATTAGACTAGTCCATAGGCTTATTAATTGATTAGTCGATAGACTAGTATACAGCCAATAGATGGACTAGTCATGGATTAGTCAATAGATTACCCCATAGACTAGTTCCATTTCATAGACTAATTCATATGTAGTCATTGGACTAGTCCGTAGATTAGTCAATAAAGCACTCAATAGGTTAGTCAATATACTAGATATTAGACAAGTCCATAGGCTAATTAATTGATTAGTCGATAGACTAGTATTCACCCTAGTCAATAGACTAGTCCGTAGACTGTTCAATAGACTTGTCCATAGACTGTTCGATAGAAGAGCTAATGTACTAGTCAATAGATTACCTCATTGACTAGTTCATAGAGATGTCTAGTCAATGGTATACTCAACAGATAATAGACTAGTCCATAGACCAATTGATTGACGAGTAATTGAGTAAACCCTAGACTAATCAACAGACTAGTCAATATACAAGTCCAAGGATTCGTCAATGTAGGCTAGTGCATAAACTACTCTATAGACAAGTCCATAGATTAGGCAATGGTCTATTCAATAGACTAGTCCATAAACTTTTCGATAAACTAATCTACAGACTAGTTAATGGACTAGTCGATATAAAACTTAAAAGACTAGTCAATAGACTAGTAAATGAACTAGTTAATAAATAACTAGACTAGTCAATAGACTAGTCCATATAGTAGTCTAGTCCATGGACTACTCAATAGTCAGTTTATACTATAAAAGTTTTACTAGACCATATAAGTTTGTTAAAAAACCCTAAGAAGGTACCACTTTTGAACCCTTTATTGATGCATATAAAGTTCCTGGAGTCCTTTTTAACCCCAGAGTGAGCGTACAGCACTTAGATACGTATATTATACTTCAAAGAACGACCTCCGTTAATAAGCCAGGAGTAGGAGGGATAAGGAACCTACCTACTCCTCCTAAAGGTTAGGAATGTCAGGAATGAGGAAATCCTGAAACACATGCGGACTAATAATAGAACTTTATCGATAAACCAATAAGGGAATGATATAGAGAACTCCTCTATATCCAGCACCGTTTATCCTCTCAAATAGATCTTTCATCGGAAACATTCATCGGGCACATTCACAAAAGATAAACGTGTGGATTAGATGGCCCGTACACTTCTTACTAACTCTCATTCGCAACATATAGTTCCCACAATAACTCCTTTATGGGATACTATTCAGTAGCAGACATCATCGGAAACTTATCGCGAAATATCTTTAAACCAACATTATTTTACCACGATTTGGATTTCAACTGTACCTCGTTGGAACCTCGCCAATACAGGGTGAATACTAAAGAGTAATTAACTTCTATAGTAAGATAGATGATGTTCTGGTCAAATTGAGAGTCAAAAAGGACGGAGAAGTTATTTGACTCCTGCAGTTGCTAGTTACGGCAGACTAGAGTTAGTTACTAGCGTGCGTCTCTATAACCCGAAATTTTAATAACATTAAGGTGAGGTTGGTCCAAAACATTGACTTCTTTTGAATTTTTTAAGCTATTTTGTGTAGATAGACCGGCTCTTTTACCCTTAAAAATCGACACAGAAAAAGTTGCGGAAGAATTCCCTTAAGGATTCGCATTACGTACTAACCGGGAAAAAATGAACCTAGGGCTCTTAAAATTCTTCTACACCTTAATAATTTTATCAACAATTGGCCACACGAAAATTGCAACATTTCGTAGAATCTTCATAACAAAAGCTTAGAAAAACAAACGTTTAAATAAAAAAATATTAAAGAGAAACTTAAAAGAGTATAACAAAAACTTAAGAGCATTGTTTGGCTTAAACACTAAAGAGAATAAAGAAAGTGCTGCGCAACTAGTGGGACAAACCAAAAGAAAGTCGCATGAGGTAGTAAACATGTTTGAAACGATCAACTGGACTGGTATGATAGAAATTTTAGTGTGAACTATATGGTATGGCTTAAACCTGCTTTTATACCAACTATTATGAACTTGGGAAAAATCTAAAGAAATGAAACAACAACAACAACAATAAACAAACACAATTATTTTAGAGTCTAGTGTAAGCTGTTGGGTGAATTTTTTTTCTTTTGTATTTTGTAAACCAGGTTGGAGGAAAAATTTTTAAAAGACGCTGCAAAATCTAAACATAAAACATTTGTACCACGGCGGTGCTACTAGTTACAAGTCTAGCGGTTGTAAAAATATTCAAAAGAAAGAAAAAAAGTTTTGCGGGATTTGAAATATTATATAGAAAAAAGAAAAGATTAAGCAAAAAAAAATTGAATTGAAAAAGAAAAAAATTAAAACGTTAACGGTTCGTAAATTGGCTAAAACTAAAACTTGAACTTTCTTCTTCAACTGAAAAAAAAATCTTGTTTTATTTTTTGTTTTTGCCATTAGTTGAAGTTGTTTTAATGTTTAAACGTGAGTTGGATTAAATTCAGTTTTTTTTTTTTCATTTAAAACCGAGTGTAAAGTGGTTAGAAAATCCAGAATAGAAAAAAAAAGAGTTTTTAAATAAAACAAATAGCACAAAAAGGAATATAAGAAAAAAAATCTTGAAATTTAGAAAAAAATAAAGTAAAAGATATAAGAAACAAAAAATCCAAAGAGATTAGTTACTGGCACGACGTTTTAGACTTAATAAAAAAACAGTTAGATGACATTCATTTTACCATAAAAAAATTACAGAATTTGAAAAATAATACCTTAAAAAAAAAACAACAAAAAATTGTGGAAAATTAAATTTTTTAAAAAATATTCTGTGGAAACATAAAGAGTGTTGAAATTCATAAAAAGCATCATGGGTTACAACTTTAGAGTGGGTTTGCTGTTACTAACCTTTGCGGGGCTGTATTGTCTAAGCGAGGCCAGTGAAAGCGACAATTATCCTGGAGTTATAGAGCTGGTGGGTTATAGCAATCGAAGAGCTAGAACCTATTATGCCCCCACCGAAGACAAACCTACAGCAGCGCCTGCAGCGGCCAAAATGCAGGCTGATATTGAAACGGTTAAACAAAATATTGAAAAATATAATAAACTTTTGACTTTGGATACAAAAAATCTGCCCGAATCCCAAAAGGATATGTTGGAGAGAATTGTAGAGCGGGTGGCTAGGCTTAAGGAATCTTTGGATATAGCAGAACCGGTTAAAGAGAAAACAAATGCCACCAAGTCCTCGGACACACAAGAAGATAAGTCTGAGCCTAAAGAATTAAATGAAGAGGAGGAGGAAAATTCCACTTTGACGCCCACATCCATGCCCACACGTTTTGAGGAGTTAGAGGAAGAGGATAAAACTGAACCTACTTTAGTATTAGATGAAACCACATTGCTGCAGTTGCAAACATCTATGGATAAATTGGCGGCAGCTCAAGCAGCCGTTACCTCTCAAGCCACACAAATGAGAGAATTTCCCACCACCACCGAAATGATGCCCGAGGAAAATTTGGACGAAGAAGAACAGCAAACTACTGAAAGTCCCGAGTCCGAGGAAGAATATGAAGGCACCACCTTTGAACCCTCTACCGATACCACAGACCCAGCTGAACAATTTGTGGCTGCCAGATCGAATAACAATTTAGCCGGCATAACAGCCGCTTCAGATGAAGCAGAAACTATGGCCACCTTAAGCACTACAGTAGGCAGTCAGAGAACCTTAACCACTAGTGGTAAAATTACAAAAAATCGTGCCACCAAAAGACCTCATGCAGCTAATAAAAATAATAATGCCAAAAGACGTCCTTCCACCTCCTCCGCTAGCTATAACAAGAATAGCAATACTAAGCAAAAAATCCCCTCAGGAGTAACACAACCTTCGCTGCAACAATATCAAAAGATATCACAAAAACCTCAACCACTGACCAATCAATATCAACAACCTTCAGTCCAACAATATGGTCATCTACCACAACCCAGTCTACAGCAGGGTTATCAATCTCAACCACCCAAAACTGTCTCTCCTTCAAGTATTTCTTTGGATAAATATAATACTGGCAGTAGTTCTTCTGCCGCACCCGCTAACATAGCCGCCTCTTATGGTATTAATCCTGCTTCGGTCTCTGCTCCAGCCACTTCTTTACCAGTCAACAGCTATGGCTCTCCTTCGTCGTCGTCCTCATCATCATTGTCATCTGCTGCCTCAAGTGCCAGTCAAGATTTAGTTTATGATTCTCATGTTAATACTTCGGCCATAATTGATAGTTTAAATAATAATGCTCGTGAGGAATACTATCAACAGAAACAATCTCTAACAACGGGAGTGGTAACTAAAGATAAGGTGAGTTTTGTATAAAAAATATATATATTTTTTTTTAAATAGAACATGGATACTGTATCCATGGCAAACACAACAACAACAATATTAATTGAGCAATAATAGAGAATATTTTTTTCGCATTCAAATATGAAGATCATTTAAATCTAATTATTTTGCTGGATAAGCAAAGCTATGATTCATAGTAATTTTGCAAGACCACCCGAACTCTAAATTATCCTTACTTATAGAACTTTCCAGAAATTCTTAATATTTTAAATGTTTCAAAATAGAACTTTCAATCATTTTGCCTTGCAATATTAATATTATAGAATACATAGTAATATTGCAAGACCAACCAAACTCTTGTATTGCAATTCTGCAAGACTAAATGCTAAACCGTGCTCAATCAATTTCATTTAAAATGTTCGAGCAAAATAGTACTAAACAATTCTGCAAGATTATTTGCAACAGGCAATTAACTACGCAATTTGGATAAAAAGCATTGCAAGTTTACAAGATCATTTTCATTAAGTAATTCCGTGAATATCATCTTCTTTTAGGATTATTCTGTGGACTAGGATTAATCTGTCAACTAGTAAATGTACAAGTCTACGGACTAGCCTATAAGCAAATCTATGGACTGGTCTATTAAATAGAGTATAGACTCGTCTATTGACTAGTCTATGGACAAGTCTATGGATTAGTCTATTAACTAGTCTATGGGCAAGTCTATGGACTGGTCTATTGACTTGTCTACGAACTATTGATTAGTCTATTAACTAGTATATGGGCAAGTCTATTGGCAAGTCTATGGACTGGTTTATTGACTAGTCCATTAACTGGAGTATGGACTAGTATATCTATTGACTTGTCTACGAAATATTGATTAGTCTATTAACTAGTATATGGGCAAGTCTATGGACTTGCCTATTGACTAGTCCATTAACTAGAGTATAGACTAGTCTATTGAATAGTCTATTGACTAGGCTATTGACTTGGCTATTGACCAATCTACGAATTAGTACTAGTCTATTGACAAGTCTATGGATTAGTCTATGAGCAAATCTATTGACTTGTCTACGAAATATTGATTAGTCTATTAACTAGTATATGGGTAAGTCTATCGGCAAGTCTATGGACTGGTCTATTAGTCTATGAACAAGTCTATGGTGTAGTCCACGAAATAGTCTATGGGCAAATCTACGGACTAGTCTATTGACTTGTCTACAAACTATTGATTAGTCTATTAAGTAGTATATGGGCAAGTCTATGGTCTGGGCTATTGACTAGTCCATTAACTAGAGTATAGACTAGTCTATTGACTAGTTTGTTGACCAATCTAGGAATAAGTCCATTGACTAGTCTATGGACAAGTCTATGCATTAGTCTATGGACTAGTCTATTGACTTGTCTACGAACTATTGATTAGTCTATTAACTAGTATATTGGCAAGTCTATGGACGTCTATTGACTTTTCTATGAACTAATCTATTGACTAGTCTATGAGTTAGTACATTCACTAGAGTATAGAATAGTTTATGACTAATGTAAGGACTATTCTATTGACTACATAGTCTATGGACTTGTGTATAGAATAGTCTATTCACTTACCTATAAATTAGTCTATTGACTTATCTATAATCTAGTCTATGAGCAGTCTATTGACTAGTCTATGGATTAGTCCATGAACTAGTCTATGGGCAAGTCTGTGGACTAGACTATTGACTTGTGCGCGAACTATTGATTAGTCTATTAACTAGTATATGGACAAGTCTATCGGCAAGTCTATGGACTGGTCTACTGACTAGTCCATTAACTAGAGTATATATTAGTCTATTGACCAATCTAAGGACTAGTTTATTGACTAGTCTATAGACAAGTCTATTGACAAGTCTATGAACTAGTCTATGTGCAAATCTATGGACTAGTCTATTGACTTGTCTACGAACTATTGATTAGTCTATTAACTAGTGGGCAAGTCTATCGGCAAGTCTGTGAACTAATCTATTAACTAGTCTATGAGTTTGTACATTCAAGGACTAAGGCCTATTCTATTCTATTATATTCTAGTCTATATACTAGTCCATTGTCTTGTGTATAGATTAGTCTATTAACTAGTCTAGGGACAAAACTATTGAGAAGTCTATGGATTTGTCTATGAACCTATGAACTAGTGCATTGACTTGCCTATTGTCTATTTTATAGAATGTCTATAAACAAGACTATTGACTAGTCAATGAGTTAGTCCATTGACTAGTGTATAGACTAGTCGATGGACGAGCCTAGTCTATTGACTAATGAAATGACCATTCTATAGACTATTCTGTTGACTTGTCTATGGACTAGTCTATGGACTAGTCTTGCCTATAAATTCGACCATTGGCTGGTGTTTAGACTAGACTATTGATTAGTCCTTTGGCAAGTCTATTGATGAGTCTATAAACTATTCTATTGACTAATCTATGGACTAGCCTTTTGGCTATTCTATGAACTTTGGACTTGTCTATTGACTGGTTTTGCTAATAGTCTATGAATAGTTTATAGACTAGATTGCTATAGGGCTAGTCTGTGAATTAATCTCTTAACTAGACTTTTGAGAAGTCTAAAGGCAAGTCCATTGATTAGTATTTTGATCAACATATTGACCATATTATTGACTAGTGTATTGATGAGTCTACGGACTGGTCTTATGGACTAGTCTATAAACTATTCTAGGTATTAGTGGCCTTTAATGTCATTACATGTGTGTTTTGCTTCAAATTCAATTTCGAAGCTTCTCGTTAGCGTACCAAAGAGACGAAGTACTGGTCCAACAGACAACATAATTTAAATAATTTACTTAATAGTTGCATCAAAAAATTCCCATGAATACAAGGAAACATTAGTAATATTACAATCATTTAATTTAACTATCATTTTTTAAATTACTTGACATCTACTTAATGACAGCTTGGTTTCAAAATGAATAAAAAATCTTCTTATTTTCCCTATTAAGAGTGTCCCAAGTAAATTGTAGTTAAAATTTGACATAAAAATCGTGCTTAAAATAATGTCTAAATATTAAATTAAGAATAATAAAATAGTGTTAAGAAAGAGAAGAAAAAAATGAAGAAATAACTATGAAAATGTCATTAGTAAAATGACAAAGAATTGGACTTAAGTAAGAGAGATAATGGTCCCCGAGTGTTCTAGCTTAAATACTTTGATGATATATTCTAAATGAAAATTGTGCTGAAATCACTTAAATCCCCTTATAACACTGGGTACAAAAATATAGTTTTAAAATCTTTAATTAACATTTTTAAATAATTTTTCATGTTTTAAAAATTATGAAAAAATACTTGCTAAAATTTTTAAATTATCACCTTATGTCAGTTTATTGAATGATGGCAATTTTATATTTTATTTTCCACTTTTTTCCAATTTGTAGATTTTTTTATAACAATTTGAAAAAATTCTATAGATGACAATTGTTTAAGCAATAAAAAATCATTTGCTACCAACAGTTAACAGCAGCAGCAGCAATAGCAAATAACTAAATATTACAACTTGCAACGCCAAACACTTATGACGACGGTTGAATGGTTGAATGCTTAAATACTCTGCTGTTGATGCTTTTTAGATTCTCGAGAGTTGTTTGTTGCATGGTTGGTTTATCACCATCGTAGCAATAGTTTGTTTGCAGCACTTTAGCAATTGCTCTTATGTTAAAAAAAAATATAGTAAAAGGAAAAACATTTTTGTTGTTTTTTTTTTTTTTTTGTAATGTTAAACAAGTGGCGTTTGCCAAACGTTTTAGAAAGAAAATTTTTGCTTTTCCTGTTCGTATAAAATGTTTATGAGGCATTCAGATGAGGACAACGTTGTTGAGGATGATGATGATGTTGATGGCTAGAGAGTTTATATATGTATGTGTATCTATATAGAGCTCAAGGTGTTCTAATAACTTTGGTTGGTATCAAAAATACCAAAAAAAAAAAAAAAACTATAACTGAACCATATAGATTTTTTGTTAACGGTGGATTTATTGTAGAGATTTGTTTTTATGCCTCTTGTTGCAATTTTTGTTTTTTTTTTTTAATTTTAGTTTATTTGATTTTCGTTACTACTTTTCGTTTTAGTCAAGGATAATTGTATTAATGTTTTCTTGTAGCCTGTAAACTGTGCTAATCTTCTAACTTTGTTTCTTTATTTTAATGTTTTTTTTTCTTGCTGTTGGAATTTGTATGGAAATTTGTGGCTTTTAAAACCATTTGTTTATATTTGCTTGATCATTTAAAAGCTTTTTTTAAGCGTTTTTTGGTTTTCGTTTTAGTTTTTAGAAAGCGCTAATCTAAACGAACTATTTTAAAAAGATTATATTTAGCTGGTTGTTTAAGAAAATGTATATGAGAACTCTTTTAGTTAACGGTGTTTTTTTTTAAAACAGTGGACAATCAAAAGTTATTGAAATGGCCAAATCGGTCTAAAATTATTGAATTATAAGCTGAAGCACCAAATACTTGTTAAATAAAGTTTCAATAAAGCTTTTAAACACGATTCGGTTCAAGTTCAGTTCTAGTCCAGTTCTAGTTCAATTCTAGTTCAGTTCTAGTTCAGTTCTAGTTCAGTTAGTTCTAGTTCAGTTCTAGTTCAGTTCTAGTTCAGTTCTAGTTCAGTTCTAGTTCAGTTCTAGTTCAGTTCTAGTTCAGTTCTAGTTCAGTTCTAGTTCAGTTCTAGTTCAGTTCTAGTTCAGTCTAGTTCAGTTCTAGTTCAGTTCTAGTTCAGTTCTAGTTCAGTTCTAGTTCAGTTCTAATTCAGTTCTAAGTCAGTTCTAGTTCAGTTCTAGTTCAGTTCTAGTTCAGTTCTAGTTCAGTTCTAGTTCAGTTCTAGTTCTTCTAGTTCAGTTCTAGTTCAGTTTCTAGTTCAGTTCTAGTTCAGTTCTATTTCAGTTCTAGTTTCAGTTCAGTTCTAGTTCAGTTCTAGTTCAGTTCTAGTTCAGTTCTAGTTCAGTTCTAGTTCAGTTCTAGTTCAGTTCTAGT